TCTATTTTAAGCTTACAAACAAATAAATTTTAGTTTTTGATATAGTACAGAAAAAAGTAATCTAAATTTACGAATGCATGTACTGTAAATACAGTACATACTTGTAAATGTATATACTGTATTTTAATATGATTTTATGTGCTTTAAACGCTTTTCTAGTGAATTACGACTTCAATATTTATGGCGGACAGACATAAAGTCGAATAAAATGACTTAAAACTTTTTTATTTTTCCATATACTTTTTTGACAAACGACGTATAATCGGGAACAACGTAACTCGAAACGACGTAAGTCGAGGTATGCCTGTATATACGTTTAATTAAGTCGGGGGAGTCGGAAATCGCAATAAAAATTTTAATTTTTTTAATTAAAATATTTAAAAATATACCGCCAGCTAGTATTCACTATACATTAAACCCTTGTCCTCCCGAGACATCTATGAGAATGTCCCGGGAAATACGACACCAGATGTTCTCAAGATCATCCAGCTGTAAACACAATGACTCATCGGTGTCAAATTTCGCAGAAAGGCGAGGCAATGAAAAATAAAGTTTGAAGCTTTTTCTTCAAAATTAACGCATTTCTTTTGCTTTTTTTTCAGTTTTAAGAGAGTATTGTCATCAATAATCGGGCATTTTTTTTAACTCTTTCCGTTTTGTAGGCACTAAGATAGCCTTTTTTAACAAGACCATTATGGGTTCGGCCAGGCCAAAAATGGGGCGGGCCCGAACATATCCGGTCGGATCAAGCCCGATGGCCCGTTCGATCCCGGGTCGAGAGCGGTAGCTGTCACCTTGACCGCTCGGCCAGCCGGTCTGTTGACAATGATCGGGCATTGACGTGAATGGTAGGAAGATTTTACTTGTTTTCAGCATTTACAATTTTTTTTTATAAAACTTATCTGTAACCTCAAAATTAAACTTTTGGACATTTTGTAATAATTACTAAAAGCTATTTAACAAAATCGATGAATTCGCTGAACTTTGGAAACATAACCTATAACATGATAGATCATAATATACTATAGTATTTTACTGTAATTAGAAAGATATTAGGACATTTAAAAGCAGAGTAGAATTATTAGTTATTTATTGCATTATCATATGTTGTTATATGTTGATTTTAATCCATATTTAGAATGGAATGATGTTTTAATATTTCTATTAATGATGTCTCCAAAGTTCAGCGAATTCATGGCAAATCAATAAGTTATCAGGAAACACGTCAGAAATGAGTAGTCACGTGACCGAATAGCACCAACAAATATCACGTGACACGCTTCGTACTCGTCCGCCGTCCTATGTGCCAATCTGCGACGAAAACAATCTTACAAGGAGAGCCTACGGCTTTGGGGTAACGGATTTTGANATTAAAATCGCGATAAAATTTTTTTGCTCGGGTAAAAATTTTTGAAAAAATTTAAAGACAAACATTCCAAAATAAAAAAAATGGGGGGCCGAAAGGACCGCGTTTTCTGTAACGCTATGTAACCACCCGAGTTAACTCGGGTCCGGATGTTAAGTGATATTCCATTCAGAATACATAATTCGTGATAGCAATTGCAAGAATGTTTCGCAAGAGGCACTCTAACTCTAGTGGGTCGCAGTTATTATGTGTCATGCAACTAGACGCTTGTGTCTGTGGAGCTTCAGCTAACTAACTGAAGCAATCAGCATGAAGCTAACTGACATGAAGAAAGTGTCTTACGTTCGCCATGTTATCTTCGTTTCTCTAAGCAGTCGTTGTGTTTTAAATTTTTAATAGTAAAATTGAAATATTCATATTTATTTGTTTAATATTAATTTAATTAATTAATTAAATAACTGTGATAGAATAAAAATAAAAAAAATTCATGCAGGTGAGTGTATCTATTTACAGGGCCGAATTTCTAAATAGGGACAGTAGGTCGGGGCTAGAGCGGCGGATATTGAGGGACGCAAAATTGGCAGACATAGTATAAGAATTTCACTAAAGTAAATACAGTAGAGCGTCGATTTTCCGAATCAATTGGGGACTGGGGTTGTCTGGATAACTGATATTTCGGATAACTGATTTACATACGAAAAAATAGTTTAACGTATCCGATGCCGAAATTTTTCTCCGTTGCGTGTCGCTTCGCGTCGAATTTTCGTCGATGTTAAGCCTAACAAAGACTATTGTATCGTTAAAAATTATTTTTTTATTTTGTACAAACAAAATAAATATATTGAAAAATATAAAAATAATAAAAAATTATACTTCAGATGTTAATTTAGTATCAAAAACGTAAAATATTTGAGTAGCCCAAGACATAGCCAAAGATTGAAGCGCCACAGCACTGGCGAAAATTTAAATTTGCTGACTGGAATTCTTTCGGATGATTGACTTTCGGAAAATNGTCTAGAATCGATTAATTTTATGAAAGAAAACCTTTCAAACAGCCGTAGTCCGTAAACTATGATTCCTACAAAATTGATTCATAAAGAACGGAACGTATCTACCGTCTTATAGGGGGATCTACTGTATACATTTTTTGGTTTTTATGTTTTTCAATATATTTATTTTGTTTGTAAGAAATAAAGAAATAATTTTTAACGATACAATAGTCACGATTATTATTTTAAAAAGTATACGTTAGGCTTAACATCGACGAGAATTCAACGCGAAGCGACACGCAATGGAGAAAAATTTCAACACGGGATAAGTAAATATATTTTTTATGCATAATCTGTTATCCGAAAAAATAAGTTATCCGAACAACCCCAGTCTCCAATTGATTCGGATAAACGACGCTCTACTGTATATATTTCGTTAAACTTTATTACAAAAATATAATAAACGAATGCAAAAGGTAAAAAATATAAAATTAACACATTATAACTATTTTCAATTGTTTTGATGTAGATCACATAGCATTTTTGGTTTGGTTTAGTATCAGTTAGAGCATTACAAATTTTGCTATCATAGCAAATATTAAATGATGCTTCATAATTAAATTTTAATTATCACATCATATGCTATCTGCTGTAAAGAAGTTGATTTTCAAGTTAATGGATGCGGCTTGCCATGTGTCTAAAAGACTTTGCAACTCCACTTTAACGTGACTAACACCTTCTGTATGGACCTTTTTTTAGCATAAGATGTTTTCTTTGCTTCTTGCGCAATTCTGTATAAGAGAAATCTCAATTTATGTTTCGATCTCACGATTTCATACCGAGGTCTTGACAGTTTCGCTTCGAGTCATCGATATTGCCTTTTTTCCATTCATTAACGGATGTTTTTGGTTTTCCTTCTTTATATAAAATCTCCTATACTTTTGAGTTGTCGTAGGAGTCTTAAAAAGGATTTATTTCACAAACTTTTCGTTTTCAACCTGACACAAAGAACGTAAGCACAGTTGATTCGATTCTGGGTTCACCACAGTGTAGGTTGCCAACGCTTAGAATACTTTCGCCAAATTTTAGACTTTTCTGTTGCAAGACATCTGGACAGAACGATTTACATAGTAATGGAACCTGAGAATACGGCCGGATGGTAGGCAGTTTTACATACAGAATAAATTGGTGAATAGAAGAGTGTATACTTAAAGCAATAGGCTTACTGCATAAAAACATCATTTAATATGTATCGAATTAATAATTCCATAGCAAATACCTTGTAAATAATTATAACAGTCTATTAATTATACATTTTACACAAAATTACATAAACATAACGAGTTAAAGATGAATTTATTAACTTTAAAATAATTTTCTTATTTATTTGTTGGGCTGCAATTTGAAAAACTTGTAGACCTATAAATTCCCACTGTTGTCTATCTATTTGTCTGACCGTTTGTCCGTCTGTCTGTCTTTCCTTAAACTCAAGAACGGAGTTAGGNAATTATATTTTAAAATGCCGAAACAGCGGAAGAATGCATTTTATTTCTTTATGAAGGAATTGCAGGAACATTATAAAGTAGAAGATAGGAATGTTACAATGAAGGAAATGCCTGTAATTGCTGAACCTTTTTGGAAAAACTTACCTGATAGTGAGAAAATGAAATATGAAACTATGGCAAGAGAATATAAGAGGAAAGAAAACATAACCGGAAAAATATATTCTGGTGTAACGTTTTCCGATAACATTGTAGTACATAACGATGAAGAAGAAAAGGCAGAGGAAGCAATGAAATTTGTCGAAAGATACATATTCCNTTTGTCTGTCTTTCCTTAAACTCAAGAACGGAGTTAGGTAGATGAAAGACGAGACCAGCTGTGAAAACTTTAGGAACAGGAGGCCTCCGATTAACTGTATACAAACTTCTAATGCAAATCGGAGGTCATGTTATTTCAATTCAAAATTTACCTTCGAAAGGTGTTAGATAGATGATCGGCACAACTCTATTGCTAACAGAAAAGTATGATGTACAGTACAGGCAAACCACTACTAATTTGAGGTGGAGAGCATATTTTGTTATATTAATTTAAACAAATTAAAAATATGATTAAACTTTCCAACCAGGTATCCTGACGATGCCACAATAAATAATTGCTCATTTTGTTTAAATCTAAAATTGACGATATTTTTGAACACGTCGTCTTTCACAATAAGAGTGTTATATAAAATCGAGAATTACAGTGGTTTTCATTGATATTCTTTATACTATGTGGATTAAAGTAATAGGCTTACTGCATAAAAACATCATTTAATATGTATCGAATTAATAATTCCATAGCAAATACCTTGTAAATAATTATCACAGTCTATTAATTATACATTTTACACAAAATTAAATAAACATAACGAGTTAAAGATCAATTTATTAACTTTTAAACACATTTAAAATACATTAAAAATTAATACGTGACGAACGTAAAAAGTGAACTAGTAAGATAAACATTTTAACAGAAATTGCCGAATAATTTTGAAAATAATTGGAATTAAACTGAATTTAACGAAGATCAATAATAGTTTCTTCCACTTCCAATGGAATTTCTTGCTTGGAGAGAATAGCCGTGGCTCCTCGTTCATATTTATATACTGTTTCCTTTTCTTCCTTCTTCGAGATGACTTCATAGGGACGGAAGTGCGTAGCTCCTTCTTTAGTCACGACGCACAGGTCGACAATTCCTCCCGAGCCCAAGTCATTCAAGATACCGGCAGCTATGGCATCTTTCACTAGTTTCTTTCCTTCTTCTAATTCCATGTTCGGCTTCCATCTGCTCTCGAATACGGTCATGGCGGCAAGAGAACCCGATCCTACGGTAGCGTAAGGCAGGCTCTGAGAAGATCCGTAAGAATATATGCAGTAGATGCTACCTCCGGTCGAATCCACTCCTCCAAGTACCAAAGCCACGCCGAGGTTTCCTTGGTATCTAAACAACATTCGTGTCAACAACGTATTTGCACACACGACTGGTACAGTTCTATTCATTTCCAAGCGTAGTAATTCGAGCTGAGAGGAAATCAATTTTGTTGTCATTACTAAATCTGCAGCCGTTCCGGCTCCACCGCAATATATATTTGGATTCAAACAATAGATTTTACGGCAATTTTTATCGGCAACGATAGGTCCTTCGGTAGCTCTTNTTCTTTTATTAATTAAAATGAAATTTTAATGGTATTCATAACCTATTTACGAACAATGATTAATAAGTTTATTCTAATTCATAAGTGTGTTAACGTGATAAACGACTGAAAAGAAAGGTGTTTTCAACATAATTAGTTAAGAAGTGCCCAATTTTCTGTAATGAATAAATGTTTAAGTACTGTATATGTTTTATACGTAAGTTTCTCCATTAGGCATCTACAAATTTAACAATTTGTCTCAACTGAAGACTGGGTACCTCTTTCAAATATCATTATCTAAAGCTGTTTTGTTTCAAATATTTGCTGAAATTTGTGCAATCCTTAACTTTAGTGATCTTCTTCAATCATTTATGAAAGACTTGACTCTCCATTTTTAAAAACATATCTTGGAATAGCCAAGATTTCACTTTCGACAATTGATATAAAAAACTTGAGCTGCCTTCAAAGTCGGTTTTTTTTGTAACTCTTTCCGTCCTGTGGACACTAAGAGGATGTCTTTTAGCAAGCCCATTGTGGGTTCGGCCAGGCACACAATGGGGCAGCCGGATGGTGAGGGACGGAGCCCGACATTTCTGGACGAACCACTTCCAAAAAATCCCCATTCGATTTCGGTCCCCCAGAGCAGCCGACTGGCTCCCAAAAGCAGTCGACGAATAAAAATTACAGGAAGAAAATTGTTAAAAATCGTTGAGAAGCACATAACATATTTAACCAAACACATGAGAAATGAAGCGAAAAAACAAAGACTGAAAACACAAGTTATAAGCAAGAGCGAGAGACAACTTGGACGCACGACAGTTTGCATTTATGCTTCGAGCGCATTTGTTACGCTCCTACAGTTCAAACTCCTACAGTTCAAACTCCGAAGCGAATTTTTGTCAAATATAGTGTTTGAAGTACGACGTATCTCTGTACACTAGATCGCAAAACAGGGATACGAATCAGCAAGTCAGCGAGGGAGAAATTCAAGGCACGTTCAATACAAACCAGGGAGAAGTGTGGTTAAAAGTCGGGAAGATTAGCAATAGCTTTGTAATTTTGATGCTTATGTTCTAGCAGGCAACTCTGTTAATGAGCTAGAGCATAAGACTACAGACCAATAAAATGACGCGCCTCTCCAGTGCACGGAACAAGAACAGTGTAGTGTTATCCGAATTTTGAAAAAAATCAGTCGCCATCCATTGGTACATGCCAGTACAGTAAGAAAACGACGTACATACAAGTGTACGAGTAGAGTTCTAGGTTTCAAAAATAGCTATAATTCTGTGAAAGATTCTCCGTGGCATCACTGCGGTCCAGTCGTAGAGAATCTTCTAAGAAATTGTGGCTGTTTTTGGAACCTTAGAACTCTACTCCTACACTTGTATGTAACTCGCATCGACGTTTCCATAGTGTACTTGCATGTACCAATGGATGTCAATTGATTTTTGTCAAAAATCAAGAAACGCGATATTGTTCTTGTTCCGTGCACTGCTAGAGAGGTGCCGCCATTTTATAGGTTTTTGTTCTTATGTTATCACATTGCAAGTATTGTCAACAGTATTGCCAGTGGCAGTTACTGTTGCCTCTGATTGGAAGTGCTGTGTCAAAATTACTACGCTAGTATTCATCCTCTCGACTTTTAATGAGACTTTTCCGGTTTTCTATTCAATATACAGTACCTTGTAGATCGACTAATTGTGAATTGACGTCACTTGAGTCGAGTCGTAGCAGAGTCGGTAGATTAACTGGTCTTTCGACTAATAGTTCAAACTTAGCTAGAGACAATATTTGCCGCTAGTCGGCGCCACTGTTAGCAGGAGATCGTTGTTCTTGCTAGGTATATACTNCGGGCCTATTTGATTATCCATTGACAATAACAGTAGTCATATGGAAGTCCTTTTGAATCTCTACCTGTTTTCTGCGTATATTCGAAAATACATATCCAGAGCTACGTATGGAGATTTTGGATCACCCCGTACAAGTGACATCATAGCCGAAGGCGGGTTTTTCGATTTTATCGTTGTTCATAACACTTATGACACTACTGTTAATTGTGTCTATGACAATGCAGACATACACCATAACAATTATGATCATTCTAATTCGAAAAATTACATTTTATAGAATAAATGACGACTAATCACCGCAATGAATTATAATCTATAATAGAAACAACAAAACAACTTAATTGCAATATTAAATACTGTAAACAGACATAATTTTAAAATCTTAACGCCCATTGACGAGATAACTCGTCAAGGTTACATAGCGTTACGTCAAATTCGGTAGTTAAGAACAAATCGTTTTCATTGAAATCAAAACAAAAAAATAAATAAATAAGTTAACCTTTTACGTCCAGTAACTCTAACCGTCGTCCTACAAACTCCTTTGTTAAAAAACGAAATTCTTTTCTCAAGTCAATTTTAAGCGAGAAATTTCGAATTTTAATTTTTAGACTAAATTACTAAGAGAAATAGCAAAATTTGGTTCTAATCATTTTTTTAAAAACTTGGATTAAGGAGCGTNCTAGCCGTACGAATGTTTTTAAAGGAATTTTTAATTAAACATAAAAAATACTTAAAACTGAAAAAAACGAAAGAAATGCGTTAATTTTGAAGAGAAAGCTCCAAAGTTTAACTTTCTTTGTCTCTCCCTTCTGTGAAATTTGACACTGATGAGTCATTGTTTACACAGCTGGATGACCTTGAGAACATCTGGTATCGGATTTCCCGGGACATTCTCATAGACGTCTTGGGAGGACAAGGGTTTAAAGTAGGGTGAATACTAGCTGGCGGTATACTTTTAAATATTTTTCTATCTATCTATCTATCCAGTGGCATCCTCTCTACAGAGGGTTGCATTTGATGAACTATTCCTCTCCATGTTTCTCTATTCCAGGCTTCTCTTAAATCCTTTCCAGTCCAGTCTTTGATGTTATCTCTCCAAGTCTTTCGGGGTCTTCCTCTAGGTCTTGTCCCCTCCACCAGTCCCTCAATCACCGTCTTTAGTAGTTGTCCTCCTGATCCTCTAGCCAAATGTCCAGCATATCGTACCTTTCTTTGTTGGATATTTATAAGCAACCTTCTCCTCAAGCCCAGCCTGTCCAAAACTTCCTCATTTGTTATTTTCTCCGTCCAACTTATTCTTTGCATCTTTCTCAAGCACCACATTTCAAATGAGTTAATTCTTTCCATCATTTCATGCGTAAGAGTCCATGCCTCACATCCGTATGTTAGTACACTCCAGATCATTGTCCTTAGGATTTTTATTTTCAGTTTTATGTTAAGGC